CACTATAATGGGATCATGGGCGATGACTGTCCTTGAGGATTGAGCTTGATTGGGCGTCCCGTAGACTCGTTTGCCCCTATACTATTACTATATACTATTATACTATTTTTTTTAAACTTAGCCCTACAGTCAAAAGATATATATTTGTATATTATATGTGTGTGGTGTATCTCTATGTAATCTTCATTACAAAACCCATTTCTGATTGGCTTTTTCTTTCTAAATTACAATATACATTTGAATAAATTAAGCATAAAAATAAACTAATTATCAGTTTTTAATGAGGATAATTTACTTAATGAAGCGGGACCGAGTAGTCAACGCTATCATGCATTTTAGATGCTTAATAATTCAAAGGCAAAACACGTTTAGCAAAGTCAAAATAAACAGAAAGAGTTCGACGAACTCGTCCTTATATGTAAAGGCATAATACCCAAATCATATTATTCTTAGCGATCTCGTTCTGTACATAAACAATCTTATTCATTAACACACTAATAAGATATTATTAAAACATTGCGTTTATTTATATGCAAATCAGAGTAATAAAGACCAAATATTATTTAATTTAATGACGGCTCATTGGTCTAGTGGTTAGTACCCCTGACTGCGGATCCATGGGTCCCGGGTTCGATCCCCGGCTGAGACAAACATCGATGTGATGAGCATTTGGTGTTGTGCTTAGGTCTTGGGTGTTTAAATATGTATTTATATGTCTATCTAAAATATGTATGTATATCCGTTGCCTAGTACCCATAACACAAGCTTCACCAGCTTAGCATGGGACTAGGTCAATTGGTGTGAATAGTCCAATCTAAAAAAAAAAAATTTGAAGGTGAAACTTTGTATGGCAAATAAAAATTACAGATTTACTGAAACATACAACTTATACTAGAGTTATAAAATACTGCAACTTGTTTAGCAATTTTGATTACCTCTATAAAGAATATATTAAAAAAACATCAATCGTTTGAGCGAAGCCTACATATACTGACATGTTTATTATTCGTAATTGGTATAAGCCATAGTAAAAATGTTTATTTCCCTCTGGTGACTTAAAGTATGATTGCATTTTAAATTTGAATTTTTATGATAACATTGTTTTTCTCTTATTAAATGATCCATGATTCTACACATAGATGTCTTACATGTGTTATTATATCATTTATCAAAAAGCTATTTCTCAAATAGACACGTAGGAGCCAAGGCTGTAACTTGCTTTTAACTTAATAACTTTTAATATTAGATAATTTTAAAAATGTGTCGCAGCCAACTAGCTTAATTAGCCGTTGAATTATCAGCCTAGCCTTTTAACTAAACGGCCCCGTTTAACTAGCGGCCTGAAAGGTGTTCTTTTTCTTTATAAATGCTTATGTCAAGTATTATTACCATACCAGTTAGTAGACCATACTAGTACCATATTCAACCTAATTCTCATAGAAAGTTCAGCCAAGAAACATAAATACACAGTAGCCGCTTTCTTTGCATAACGATTTTCCCAACGCCTTAGAGAAAACAAGTTTCATTATTTTTTGAACTTGACCCCTGTCAAGTCTTCAAAATAGATTCTCTTAGATTGATTACCTATCTTACTTTAATCTAATGGTGGGCTTAGAATAATACTTGCTTCTTAAAAAACCTTACAATCTTTTTAAGTATCAGATTTCTGTATCTATTTAATGATAATTTGTCAATCTAATAGGCAAATAGGTGATCAGCCTCCTGTGCCTAACACACGCCGACTACTTTTTGGTTTAAAGGCAAGTTGGCTTCCTAACCTTCCTCCACCGTGTGAGCGAATTTTAAATGCGCAGAGAGATAGTCCATTTGTGCACTACCGAGGATCGAACCTACGACCTCAGGGTTGAGAGTCACACCCTGGTCAACACTGCTCTGCTTGCTTCATAAACTTAATGTAATACTTAGCAAAACTTCATCAAAGAAAATTTTGTTTAAAAAAATAAGTTTCAAAAATATTTTTTTACACATGTAGATTACTCTTACAATATCACTTTCTAGTCATTAATGGAGTTGCTTTCATCTCTTGAGGTCATTAAGATACAAATCTGTGGTCCAGTTGTATTGTCTTTCACGTTTGACCTCAACATTATCGTTATATATTTCGTTTTGTTTTGTCGTAGTCGGCGAGTATAATTACAATCGTTTTCTAAAAGTCTAGACCACTATATATGAATTACAATATTCTATACAATAATGGCTAATACATAATTCTTACTTAAATTTCTGACTTAATTCTACTAATATATATATATAAACTAAGAAAATATGTTAATGTGTGTAACATTAGCGGCTTAGGATATTATAAATGATCGGCGTCACGATCGGATCCCTTATTAATTCCCAAGGATCAAAGTCCAATTCCAAATTCCGTCTGCAAAAACCAACCTAGGAGTTGAGGAACATTGCATTCGAATTCTTCGCGAATATAACAATAAACACTACTATCGTTAAAAAATGTTAAGTTAAAAGTAAAGTTGGCACTATGATTAATGATTATGTGTCTGAACTACCGCAATTACACTAATATTCTACTCATGTGTTATAAATTCGTTGATGTCCGATATAGTTTAAAAAAACATAGTGTCCAAGTTTGCGCTGGATTCTAAGTAACCCGCATATTTGTCCTCCTGCTGGTACAATGTTACTCCCAACAATTATTCCAAAAAAGGTGTTTATGACATCACTTGTATGTCTTTTTACGTAGCCGTTCGAAATATATATTATCATATTCATCCGCTTTAATTTTTTTTTACACTTACAAGTTATTTAATGGTAATTTTTATTGCAGTAATTACGGTAATAAAATTAAAAACTTGTGTTTCGAATACTTAACGTCAGGACCAATTAATATTTGACATTCGTCACGAGTTATACACGGAAGAATGAAGATATAATTTATCTTGACATTCAAGCATGTTCAGGACTATTTTCTTATTAAAAAATTGAACGTATCAAATTATATTATATATAATTATGTAATAGTGTCCAGCACAAAAAATTCACAAGACACGAAATAATATTATTAAATTGAGGCCTAATTTATGAAAAAATCTAACAAGACACGATATAATATTAATAAATTGAGCCCTATTTTGGATGTATTTGGTATACACCAATGACCTTCAAAATGTTATAAATACTAAAGCAATAATTGATTGTTCTTTTCACTTCATGTTTTTTGAATTGAATAAGTTAATATAGTTAGTACAAGTGTCATTATATCATAACAACAAATGTAACAAGTTAAAAACTTTATTTTAAGATTATTTAAAGTTATGCATTTTTTTACTATTTCTAAAACTAGTTGCATTATTTAAATTTGAATTTAGAATATTTGTGGCGATTTAATTACATAAAAAATCAAGTCATATTATAATCATATAAGTGACACAATGTAGTGTACATAGACAAAAAAAATTAAATGCTTCTAAATTTACATTTACTGCCAGGTCTCAAAATAGAAGAACTGGCAATAAAGTCTCGGTCAGTCTTTAATATCGCCAAGATTTTTGTTTTATATTATAAGTCTCATCAAATCTTAAAGTAATATAAGAAAAAACAACAAAATAGGCATGCAAGGAAAAGCATGCTAATAATCATTACCTAGATATTATCAGACAGTACACAACTATTTCGACTCCAGCATAATCAATAGATTACAATTCTTAATAAAGCATAAAATTTCCATCAATAATTACATTAACATTTACATGGACCTTGACGGGATAAAATTGTCACCTTCCTACCCACCTATAAAGGTGCAAAAACTAGAAGTAGACTCAAAGCTTTTTGCCATTTTTATTTTTTAAATGTTCTCATCATAATAATTATAATTCTATAATCTCTAATATATAAAATTCTCGTGTCACGTGTTCGTTCCCAAACTCCTCCGAAACGGCACGACCGATTCTTATGAATTTTTTTATGCATATTCAGTAAGTCTGAGAATCGGCTACTATCTATCTTTCAAACCCCTTAATGATAAGGGGTGTCCACCCCATTTTTTTTTATTAAGGACAAAAAAAATGTTTTTATTTTATTATGATACAGCGTACAAAATTAATACAACCTTTAATTTTCATCTACCCTCTACGATCAACCCTTATTTTTTATTTTTTAGTTAAGAACTTATAACTTGCACTCTGAGGTTTAAATAGCGAAAAATCACAGAAAAACATAAAAAGATTTCATTCCGGAAAACCGAACAGTCTCTTTCATACATGTCGGTATGTACTAAAAAGGTAGGCTAGGCATTAAGGAGAAACGAAGTTTGCGGGGGCAGCTACTAGTTATATAAAAATCATTACAAACAATTAAAGGACAACTTCTTTCTAACGGATGTTATTGAGGCCACATGTGAGATTTAGTTGTTACTAGTTACCTCTGTATCACAAAGTAAAATACATTTATGACATATGGGATCCAGACTAAGAATCTTACCTGGAATCTGCGTCTACATACCATTACGGTGATGTCATACTCTGAATCGCGCTAACGAAGTTATTTCGACCTTAGCCTATATAAAACATCTCAACCCTAGCCGTTGGAACCTTCGGGCCGGCCAGACAGTTGTCAGACTGGTCGAGGATCCTCCCTTTAGGTGGGAGGAAGAGCAACGCCTTCCGTCTCGATTGTAATCATTTTTAGTACTTTTTATTTAATTGAAAACAAGAAACAAATAAACTATGACGCGAGTAGTAACCTACCTTTAGTTAAGTTACATATAAATATTTTAGTTAATAATTAGAAGTGTAAATGAAAACAATCATCGCACACTTGAAGCCAATATGAGCCCTTTAGTTTTTACCTCGCTCATACATTGTATTTTAACATTCTCGTTTCCAATAATGTCCAATAACAAAAGTGTCATTTAGATTTGTGAACCTTAGATAAGCCAAGTTAGTTTTTGTTACCATCGCAACCCCTCTACCCCTAATAAATTAATTTGTGTTAGTTATAAGCTCATATTTTAAACCATTATGGTAAGTTGTGCCCCACCTTCAAACAAAGAGTTTTATTTGAACATTTCGATACAAAAACCGCCAGCAAACTTAATTCGCGCTATAATTAAAATATAATAAAATGTATTAATTAAGATGATTTTTGTTTTTCTAAGGAAAATAAATAATAGTAAAAACACGATGCAAAGTTTATTCTAGTGAGAGGAGCTTTTTTCTCTTTGTTCTTTTGTGGTCGGTCTGTGGTGGTGGTCTTTACAAAATGTGATACTGTCGGCAGTTCACAACAGGACATTGTAACTTAATATACCAATTGATACGTCCTAGTCTGTATTTTATACTCTAAATTTATTATCAAATTAATTGAGAAGTCAAAATAGAAACAGTTATATTATAAAAGTTATGTATATTAAAGCTATATTAATAAAATAAACCTATTATAATGGAATCAACTCCATAAATGTTTGAATTTTATCAATATCGCCCACTGTTCAACATCGAAAAGGAGATAGTAACGGTGATGCAAAAACAGCTAGCTTTCTCGAGCAATATAAAGGCTTTATTAACTTTTTTGGTTGCGCCACTTAGCTGACCCCAGTGTACAGTTAACTGAACATATACACTAAGATGAGTCAGCTGAATATCAATTGAAACCTCTTCATCCGCGAAGAGTTGTGTTCTTTAAGGAAACAGAATTTAAAAAACAACTTAATTCAAAAATGGATTATAATTTTAGGAGAGATGTGGATATCCTTTGTTGTTACACCCGTATTTTCATCTTATAAGAATACCCGGAAAGCTCGGTTGAAATTCCTGATCATTGTTATCTTATATATGAGAGGAGTAAATATTTATTTATTTTCAGTTGGTCTCAGCGAGTTGCTTTCTCGACAGTGTCTCCTCCCGGCCGTCAAACAATGAGTAAGTATTTATATCTTTTTCGTAACATTAAAAGAACTAAATATGTAGATTACTTATACTGGGTAAAAAGAGTTCTTACTATTTTTAGACAATTTAATTACAATAAGTGGTAGAAAGTTTTTGGTGTGTGTTTAATATTTCTAATATAATTTATATAACAAGAATAAATACAACTATTGGGACACATAAATCCAAAGGAATGAAAATACTACCATTTTTTCACTATGACTACTTTTTCACTGTGTTCTGACAAACAATAACAATAATTTACAAGATATATATTACCGATTAAAAGACCTTATATGAAATGACACTTTGACAAGTATTAAACTACCCAATCAGGACGACCTACACCTAGATGTAACTAAATAACTTTAAATTAGCATTTAACTTTCTGAAAAGGCGCGATATTCTTTATACTAATAGTTATTAATATACTAAAGTTTTAGTAGATTAGGCTGACGTAACTAACGCAATAAATTTTTTAACATTCACCGCTTTGAAACGTGAGGTGCACATTTCAACTAACCCTACTGAGGAAGTATAAAACAGTTGGGTTCAGGTATGCTATTATACTTGTTTTCTATTAGACATGCTTTGCTTCTAAGCTAAAAAGCTTTGTGCTTAAACCTGTTTAGACACTTCTTAATATATCCGTTTTCTAGGTCGGCACCTTTAAAAGTTGAGATACCAGTTGAAACAACTACACAAGTCGAATCGGAAGACGAACATCCTGTATATTATCAACCTGATACTAATTCAAAAGTTCCTGATGACACACGAGATATTATCGACAAAATTAACTCGATAAACACCGGCCTCGAAAAGCCAAATGGTCCGAAAAAACACCGTTACAAAATTCACACAACAGGCGGTACTATCGTTGTTGATATAGAACAATTACAAAAATTACAAGATGAATACGAGAATAATGAAATAAAAAAAGCAGAAATGAATGCACTGAGAAAGGAAAATGAAAGTATCAAGCGATACTTATATGCAAGAGAGATGAAATTGGGACGAAATATAGAAACACCCATACCACCACTACCATACATGATGAATGTCCCAGTTATTGTAGTGCCACAGAGCTTTGATTTTAACAATCGGTTTAACTTAAATAGTAATATAAAATCACTTGCTATGAACGATATCTATCAAACGAGGCAAAGTTCACCATCTTTTCCTAGCTTTCCATCATTTCCATCTCTTTCGTCATTTCCATTCCAAAATTTTCAACTCCAATGGCCTTTTGCCCAACTATTTCCTTTCATAATAAAAGATCCCTTTCAAACATTCAGTCAAGGTGGCAGTTGGAATAATTTATTTGAATATGGTCAAAATGCTGATGTATGTTCAAGGAAACAAAAATCAGTAGATGAAAGCTCACCAGACTCTGAAGAAAACATAAATGAATTGAGCGATATGAACTCTCTCAATTCTTTGCAGACAGTCCATACACGACAAGAGCGCGCTCTAAAAAAAAGAACCATAAGCAGCCCTGCTACAATCCCTCGCCAACAATTAAACGATGATAAAAAAGGAAAAAAGATTTACGTAACCAAACCTGTTACAACGAGTCAAAAAAAAACTACTAAAAAACCTTACGTAGTTGAGGAGCTAGAGGAAGTGAAAAATGAAGAGTCTGGTGATTTGCGGTTTCCTTTTGGGGATTTTGGTTGGTTTGGTAATAAAAAACCTGTAGCACCCAGTCCTGGATTTTTTATAAATAAATTGCGAGTAAGAAAGGGTGGTGTTGCAATTGCTGGGCCTGGCGGTGTGGCGACGGCAGGAAGAGGAGGCACAGCTATTGTTGGGCCAGGTGGTCTTGCTTATACCCAGCCTGGTGGCTTAGCCGTCGCAGGTCCCGCCGCTAGGGTTGTGGCACTCTCTTCAGATGCAGATTTACACTCTCTTATAAGTCGACTTCAACAAGATAATGATGGATCAGTGCCACGTTCAAAGCAACCGATCAGGGAAGGCAAAGTAGTAGCCACAGGCCCTGTGGTTTATTATCACCCAAATGAAGAAACATCAATCTGAACACTTTTTATTTTATAACTACATCAGTATTAACCTAGCTAATTGTTTGCAAATAGATATCCGGAGCAAGAGGAAGGAAGAACTTACTTAGAAGAGCCGCACAGTATGGATTCCTACTATTATGATGGAATGGACATCTCAAAAAAGCCAAATGCAGGCATAAAGTTTATCCTACGCGTATCTCCACAGGCGCTTGCTGTCAGTGGAGCAAAAGGTTCAGCAATAGCTAATCCAATTTCATATGTATTTATAAAAGGAGGAGAAAAGAGCTCAATAATCCACGACCCTACAGCAGCCGCTGTTGCTGGCCCCGGGGGAATCGCACATGCACTGTCTGAACTCAATGTATACGAGTATAACTCTGATTAGTAAATTATATTTAAACAAAATGTTTAGTTAATGTAAGAAATATTAAGTTTGCGAAAAATAATTTTGACTAAATTTAAAATTATTTTTCGAATTGATTTTTGTTAATGACAAAAGAAAATTAAAATATAATAAATTACTCATTAATTGAATTGCGTTTTGATTTACCTATTTAAAAATATACAATTTATTTAATGTACAAACATATTTGCTAAGATTGCTAATGCAGGCGATTTAAGATTTCTTGTATTAGGTGTATACGAAGGACTTTTTTTATATTTTATTAGTATTTCTCAAGAGAAAACAGGTAAATAATTTATATTAATTTAATTATACAATATTAATTGACCGTATAATTAATTAATAACCTTCTTTTACAGTGACTCCACTCAGTATTTGCCGTTTTACGGAGGAGCTAAAGGCCAATATTTAGAAATAAGAAAGGACACTCGGGGATCTATCCTCAGTGAAAGGATCGTTCCAGAAGATAGTATTTCCAATGAGAACATTTTCAAAGCCACCGAAGGAAATCTTCAGGCGAAAATGTTTCAAGCAAACTTAGCACAGCTGAAGTCTTTGTCATCTAGTGTCCTAAGGTTGTACAATTTAGGTAGACGCCTAGGCTACCTTGGCGAGCGAGAGAAGGAAAGATTCGAGACACAATTGGCATCCCTGGAAGAGACCGCGTCCAACACAGTAAAAATTGTCGACGAAATTGGTGACGATGTGGATGTGCTATTCAAGAAAAGCAAGCCAGAATCTACTACTACTTCGACGACTGCTGCAGCTGAGCATTCCTCTTCCGTACCCGCACTTAGAAAATATCAAGACAATTATGATGAGGATGATGTAAGTTTTTACTTATCAAATCAGCAAAACCCTGTCTGAAAAATACATAATTAAAGACGTTTTCCTCGTCCCAGCAGTTTTTAGGGCGTAGTGATCAGTATTTTTAGGGCTCTAACTTGATAAAATATTTCACCGGGATTAATACTATATCATCCTTGGACTATATATTCATAAGTCGATCATCGTTCTCTGCATTTTCTGCCGCATTGACTATGGAGGCTGTTCAGAGGAATTGTTTGAGTTTCATCATCGGACGTCAAGGCAGTATACGAAATACTATCCGAATCACTTCGACGTCCGTAGTTCCACAACTGAGTATTTCTTTAGGCAGTTTTTACCGCGCACCACCACTATGTAGAACCATCTGCCCACTATGTAGAAAATCTGGCCAGCAACGCATTTGCGAGCATTCTGGCGATATGAGTATCATGAGTAGTGGTATCACTTAACATCAGATGAGCCTTCTGACATACAAAATTAAAAAACAAATAAAATGCAGTCCATCAACTTTGTTTTGTCATGGAATAAGGGTGGTTTGGGCGAGCGTAGCTCAGCCTGAATGGACGTTTTTCACGCGCGACTAGCGCAAGGGCGTCTCCTGTGATCCATCAAACACTGGGTCATTTTAATTTATATTAATTCCAGGTTGGAGAAGAAGGTATCAGTGTTGGCGCACAGGCTGATGATTCCAATGAAAATTATGAAGTACATGAAAGAAGAACGATTTCTGAAGCTAAACCAATCGGTTAGTAGTTGAAATTTGATTTTTGGTATAGAACATCGTTTTTCAATATGCAAGTATTTATTACATTTAATACGTATTAGTAACTTTATAAGCAGCCCTGCGATTCTGTAACTCACTTTTCGAACTCACACAGCGGTTTTTGCATCGGCGGTCGCTCTCAAATCAGTCGTGAAGCAATCATTTTATGATTTGGCATTCTGAAAAGGTGGGAGCTTGTATTTTATTGTTTATCAGCATGCCAAATCATAATATGACTGCTTCACGACTGATTTGAGAGCGACCGCCGATGCGAAAACCGCTGTGTGAGTTCGAAAAGTGAGTTACAGAATCGCAGGGTAGACATAATCTATAACTCATATACTTGTCATATAAACAACATACAACATAACTGTAACATTATTTACCCGTTATCTGCTGCTTTTTGGTCTTCATTTTCTTCGTATTTAGAAAATATGGAGACAATTATGAAATTATGTCAGTTATTACTTATTAAATTAGCAAAAGCCTGTCTGAAAAACATAATAATATAATTTCCTCGTCCCACAATCGCTTAATTTTGAATCTGAGTCCGTTTCTTCGGTGTATAATTATTATTAATCTATCATTAGAAGTAACTTTATGTATCAACTATGAACAGCTTGTCTACTGTCTTGCCTGTCTACTACTGACTGTGAAATGTGTGTTTAAATGTATATGTTATAAATGTCAGGAGTATCTGTAAAGTACATGTAGTGTATGTATTAGCAATAAAACCAAATATATGAGAAGGTGAGACCTAAAAACCTATCAACCCTACAGATTCGTAAGCCCTACAGATGAACCCTGACACATAGATAGAGATATGAGACCTAAGGACCCTACGTGTAGGATCAAAGGTTCAAGGTGGTGGTAATATCTCAAAGCTATCGGGTAGGCTCACTACGATAAATACGGACTTGAAGGAGTCTTCGCCACTTTGAGAGGAAGCGAGAAATGAATAATAGTGAATGTGTTATATTATAAAAATATAATATCATCTGTTTAGGTGCTTTTAGATGATATTTGCAATAAGTCGTAAATACTGTATACAGTATTACTTTAACAGACTAATCTACGTCTCGTTGCAATTACGAATGGTATTTATGTACTCATAGTAGGCAGTCTAATAATATTAAATTTTTACAGGTCTAGCAGTGGTCGGCGAAAACGGGGTAGCAGCATCACGGCCAATAGGTACTGCGGTAGCAGCGTCTGGAGTGGCCATCGCTAGGCCCATTGCCACCGCCATAGCAGGCCTAGACCCAACACTTCTTGGCATTGACTTCCAGCTAAACCATTATCAGAAAACTTTTAAGATTAACAAGAAAACATAATGTATTTGTAACGTGTTTCAATAAGTTTTAGTAGTTTTAACATTGAACTTAAAACTGCTAATCTATATTGGAATTTTCATTGTAAAAATATTGTTGTGCCATGAATTTCCATGTACAGAATTATAGATTTTTAAATTATTAAATAGTTTTATAAAAGACCTCTTTTATTTTAATAAGCACTGACTCGACCATTCTATTTATAAAATTTAATCAATCTAATGCATTTCCGTTTCTTTCTGTCCAATTATATTTACATAGAGATGAAAGGAGACAGGTTAGTTCATTATTAAAACGTAGTACGCTCGGTGTAAACTCAAATTGACAGTTGTCTATCTTAGATTGGAATTGGATTCCTTCAGTTTACCTAGTTAGGACACTAAAGCCCCAGTTTTAGCCCCATTTATCGTACTGTTAGGCCGTGTAATTGAAATGCCTTTTAAAAAAAGGATTTAATTAAAATAATACGTACAATACAAAAATTAGACAACCGCTCTCTAAGAATGATACACGCAGACTGACTGAAGTCACTAGGATCGTAATCCTCTAAAAGTATGCATTGATGATGCAGATGATGAGTTAGCATTATGGCTAGCAATCTAGGGATGTAACATCTCCCCCCTTTAAGATAGAGCCTTTGGTAAGAAAATTAAAGGCTCTTTTATATTCTAGTTCTTATTGGAGCACTTTGGTGAACAATTCCTTTTCTGTAATTTCTATGTCCTCAGTAGGAGGTTCAGTTATAGTTCAGTTATGGTTCAGTTTTGGTTCAGGTATGGCTAGCAATCTAGGGATGTAACAGTACGTAAATAGGTAAAAAAATGTGTTTATTCATTTTGTCCAATGCATTATAATGTGTAAAATTTGGGAACCCTTTTAAGTAAAAAAAACCTGTGTCAGGGTTCCCAGCTCTTCCATAACAAACTTTATAGTTATTTCCAAAACAAATTTTTGTTTTAAAAAATGTTAATATCTCCCAAATTACTATTTAAAAAAAAGCACTACGTAACATATTATTTCTTTTTAGATTACAACCACACAATTACTAACTATTTCTTTAGACACGTACGTCACGTACACTCAATAAATTTTATTTTTTACTTGAATGGACACAAGTACTCATTTTTCTTTATTCAACACAGCATAAACAGTATTTGACAGAAAGAGATGAGAGCAGAGTATTTTAGTTGAAACAATACAAATAAATGAAAAGGTGGCTGGAAGCCCTCCACTACTAGCGAACTGTGGAATTGGCTTCCGGTTGTTGACTTCCTTGGGAGATACGACCTCCAATAATTAAAAAATAAAGCACACTCTTTCTTCAAAGGCCGGCAACTTACCCACTAAAATTGGTGTACTTACATGGGCTGTGCTATTTAATCTTAATATTTTCCGGTTTTGCCTTCGGCTTTTATTCCAAAAGAATACGTCATACTACATCAATAAAAACAATCACGATCAATATGTTTAGGAATGTCATCTTGTTAATACAATATGCAAACATATGTAAATACACATTCTGCGACATTTCTTATAAATAAAGAATAGTTACGTAATTTCTACGCCCAGGTGACGCCACTTCGACTTATTTCAAATAAGACGAAAGAGGGTTAATGTCTCTCTCTTCAATGGGCAGCTCTTGTCTCAGCGTCGTGGTCAGCAAGAAAGCATCTGGAGCGGACTATCTGTTTCCACCGATGAATCTGTTACTTGATCGGTCCATCTGGTTGGTGAACGGCCACGTGATCTTTTGTCTGATATGTTACCAGCCACGATCAGTTTCTCCAAGTTCTCATCGCCTCTGCGCATTGTATGGCTGATGTAAGTTATAATTCGCTGTCGGCATATGGTAGACAGGTGAACGGGCGCTTCGCAGTCCACGGTATTCTTAGCATTCGCAGCCAGCACCACATCTCTAAGGCATCGACCTTTTGCCTTTCTCGAGCCAAGATACGTTTCTACTCCATACAGGAAGATGGAGAATACTAAAGCCCGTATCAGTCTTATTTTGGTATTATGGCGTTATACATCTAAAGGGGAATTTTAATGAAATATCTCACTTATGAAAACACTTAATCAACAAAATGAACTAAATTATGATTCTTTTGCACCAAAGCTTTAATTTTACGTTACAATATACATACCTATACAAAACAAGTACAGAAACTAAAACTTCATTGAGACATCCATAATTATATGTCTTTACAAACAATACTTTCCGTCAATACTCCAACCTTTTTGGACCCATCAGGCATCGCTAGGGACGAGGCCAACAGCCGGACGGGCTTTAGTATGGATGCCACTTGAGTGGACACGTTCGCCTCGTCTCACCTCCCTCGGAGCACAGGAGCTGGCGCGGCCGCAGAGCAGGCGACAAAATATAAGAGTCTGCCTTCAACTTTATTTCTTTCCCCTTTTAAATAGAGACTTTTGAGCGCAGGCGCTAATTAAATATTTGGCGCCTGGTAGATAGTATCGGTGACCCCAGAGCTGCTTTTCTCGCTCAGCGGATATGTATCGCAATACAGTGAGGAAATGCTGCCAGGTACGCTGCAACGGGGACCAAACTTTTTATATTTATTTTAGTTTTCTATTTAAAAAAGTATACGCACAGAAGTACAAGACTAAGCTGGAAAATCATCCTACCGGAGTAGGTATATAAACCGTCTCAAAAGACGAAGAACCCTGGAGCTCAGCAGCTTTGACTGAGCTAATATTACTATGGTAGATATTCCTAATGAGTAATATCTCCACCCACAAATCATCCTACAATACATCTGCTCATAGTCAGAAGACTGATTGCACGATGCGTCCTTGGGACAAAAAAGGTTTTTTTTATATTTTTAATTATTATTAGTTAAGGATATTGTAAATGGTCTAATAAAATAAATACATTCCCTTCTAACATATCTCTTGAGTTTATAGTATGAGTGTCGGCCCAACTAAGTACGAGTATATTAAATCTAGAGAAACTCAAGGTATGTATGATGTTGCCTTGTTAAAATTATACTTATAACGTTGTTATTTTAGCAGCCTCATAGCCTAGCGGTCTTATTAAGTGGCAGCTAGGTGAGGGGTACAGGGTTCGAGGGCAAGTTTTAATTTAATTTAAATTTGTTCTCGGCCTTTGGGAGGGTTGTGCGGTCTAATTTCTAAAAGACAAACACGAATTATAAAAAAATCCTATACTTGACGCTGGCTAATGCACAAATCGTGCCAGAGCCATTAAAAAAAAAAAAAAAAAAGTTGTTATTACGTGTTTAAGAAAATGTAAACGAAGTCGAAATGCGCAGTTCTATTTTAAAATTACAGTACACATGTTTATTAATAATCCACGTGCCATTTAATTTACGTTTTACACCTATATAATTGGCACTCTAAAATATTCACATAGATTATATTCTCGCGAGGCTCGTAGAAGGCACTCGTAAACTAATGCATAATATGTCTCATTTTTTATAGGTGCAAACGTCACCTAAAGCTGGGTCCACATTTGTAGCATGTTGACGTATCACGATCAGTCGTATCGTATCTAGTATTTGTATCATAAATATGGACGCTCATTTTGTCCAACCATGGTGGAATACCATTTCGAGAGCGAGATTTTTAGCTCATTTTTCGAGTTTTAAAATTTCAGCTTTATGTGAAGTTAAACCGCCACTCACAATGTCAGAAGGCTCGGAAGAGCGTTGCCTACAAGAATTGGTAATCTAAAAAATCTTAAAACTGAAACGCGAAGTGCATATAACATGAAAGGTATCATGTTTGCTACAATAAATAGCCTTGAGTAGGTACTGATATATTCTTGACTCGCGCTTAATAACGAAAAATGCACACATGTGTCATCCGTAGGGATAAGGAAACAATTAGTATAGGAATAAGAAATCAAATATGGCGATCGCAAGAAATTTATAAAATAAAATAAAAAAAATCGACCAGTTTAGCTACACGATTGTATTAAATTTTTTTAAAGACAGATTCTTTTCGCTATGACATTAGTTCTTGATCTGCAAGGAAAAATTATTGTAGCTTTTTACATCCGATAAAGAGCAGCTTCCTGTAAAAAAATATCTGTTGAGCCACGCCAAAAAGTAAATTAATTAAGTTTTTCTTAATAATTTCAAATAATAAGACGACTTTTAAATAATAAAAATGACAAAAGTCACTTTGTAAGCATAATAAAAATAATCTTCCCTTTGAAATCTAGTAAGTCGAAAATGACGCACTAAACAAAGTTGGTGAGTAAACTTCTTCAAGGAAAGAGTGACTTGTGGCTTTCGGTCATACAAAACCCAATTTACCACAACTTTTATAATCTAAATTATTGTGCATTACCTAGAAAGCTGGATGACACCTTTATTTTGCTGAAGAAAATTATACTTTATATTTATTTAATAATTTTCAGTAGATGTTAGAATTTATAATTAATAACGCAATGTGTATGACTATGAATTGAATATTGGATTGGATTATGTATGCGATGATAGTAAAAAGTACACAATTATCAAAATATTTAAACGAACTTGCTTCTGTCTACCGAGAAATCCAACACGGCTTTGGGTGCCAGCATATCACAGCACTTTATTAAAAAAATAAATACACATACAAATCTCACTATTTAATCACCTACCCAGAGGTTACAAATTCTTGTAATGATATCAAACGATGATTAAATTATAGTTTTGTCATACGGATCAAGAATTTAACGAAATTATGAATAATTTTTAATATATTTTACAATTGCTTACTTTACATGGCTGATTGTAAGATTGTTTGTCATACATCTTATCATACAAAACAAATTGGTATCACGACTTAATATTCTATACTTTGCCACTTTTACATATATTAAAATTAATAGTATTTGTTAAATTAATAGTCTAAGTTATAAATAACGGATATTGTAGTAATTTAAAATTTAATTTATAAGTGTATTTATTTATTAGTAACCTTACAGCTACCATTCATAAAACAAAACACTTAGACAATATACAAAGCCAAAA